GTTTGCTTAAATGTTTGTATGTTCACACAAGGGAGGGAGGGAGAGAGAGAGAGAGAGAGAGAGAGAGAGTGTGTTATTGGAGTGCAGAGCGTTGTTTGAAATTGATGGTATCTTTGATGTCTTTTCCACCTTTCTTCAGCACTTCGTGTAGCTTTTGATACATGAAACTCCAGGTTGTCATCACTGTACTACTACCGTTGTCATTTTTTTGTAAGGGAAAATCATTTGAGTGTGCAGATTTACGAAATACTCAATCACTTCACTGGAGAAAATGCACAAGCCTGAACTATATGTTGAACCAGACCTTGGAATACCTCTTGACCTTCTTGATCTCAGCGTATACAAGTATGTTACGTGCTCTCTCTCCTTTTCTTCATGCAGCACATATGAATTGAATATCATCTATTATTTTGACCTTGTTGCTGGCTTGCTTAGTCCTCCCAAGGGTGAAAGGATACCACTTGCCCCAGAAGATGAAGAATTGTTGCGTGACGACAATCCTATAACCCCCATCAAGAAAGATGGCATAAAAAAGAAAGAAAGACCAACGGACAAAGGTGTTTCTTGGCTGGTCAAAACACAATACATCTCTCCTCTTAGCACGGAGTCAGCAAAACAGGTTCCTGCTGATAATAGCGTTTTAGAGGAATATTCTTCTTCAAAGAGTAGAAAAACCTTATTTAATTAATTGTTTATGCCATTTGCAGTCTCTGACTGAAAAGCAAGCTAAAGAATTGCGAGAAAATAGAGGTGGCCGCAACATCTTGGAGAATCTTAACAATAGGTTACTTCTATTTTCAGTGTCCATGCTATCCATGTCTAAGATAGTGAGACATAGTTGAGGTCTGAATATTGTATTCCTCAAACCCTGTTTTCAGAGATAGACAGCTCCAGGAGATCGAGGCTTCTTTTGAGGCATGCAAGTCACGGCCCATTCATGCGACCAATCGCAGATTGCAGCCTGTCAAAGTCCAGCCACTTTTTCCTGACTTTGATCGGTAAGTCTTCCTCTCTTTTCTTTCTTTTTCATGTTAAATATCTATATGTTGGCCTGAATGTTGAAGAAGAGGGATGAAAGATTTAAGAAGTTAAAAACTTTACCTTATCAAAAAAAAAAAAAAGATTTAAGAAGATTATGTTTCAGTATAACTGGTGCAGTCTCCCTCAAAGACTGAGGTACTTTCACTTCATCCATAAGAATGCGGCGTTGTCTTTTAACATGCATGCATAAAGGGCTCACACATTTTCTAGTTTCTCCTTTTATTTTTGATTTATCTTCTTGTGATAATTGCAGCTTTCAGTCTTTTTTCCATTTGATTATCCAGATGGGGGAAAAGTTTATCTCATTTCTCAGTGCCAAAAAAATGCTCACCATAGTTGGACTGTATTTTGTGAGTTGGAAGGGGATTTCATGTTAAGTGGAATAATAAGAAGCTATACTTTTTATGAGAACTACATTCTCCTCTTTAATTGCAAAATTTGTGCAATCCCTCTATGCGTGGTGCTTTAATGCCTTAGTGCATTGAGCTAATTATTTCTTCAAAGCTCTTTATGCTTCCTCCTAATCGTTGTTTGGTAGCAGCAATACTGACACATATGTAGATTATTATTGCTTAGTTCACTAACATAGGTCTGCTCACTGTCTGGTGGGCAAGCTTCTCAGAATGATGAGCTTTTAATTTATCTTATGTTTGATCTCTCTGTGTTCCGCTGTCTGAAAGCACATACTCCGTTTTTATGTAATCCTCTTTTGTCCCCTCTCACCTTTGTGTAGTAAGTTTTGCTCTTGATAAAAAAACGTACTCGTTTGTTTGCTTTCTTGAGCGATAAGCAGAGTAGGTAATGATAATTGGCGGTACTAGGTAATTGAAGGTTAAGGGAAACTTGAGCGAGAAGAAATGCTATTAAATATTAAGGTTATACAGAACTTTGGGACTTTTAAGTTTTGGGCTTTTGTATGTTTGATATGTGTGAGTTTGGCGCTTGCTATTTATTGTACCCACTTCTGCGGTGGACCTTTTCTCTATTTGTCACCATACCCTTCATTTTCTCTTGTTCTGCTATTTTTCTACAATTTATGGCATTTATAGATGCAGCCCATAAAATTCCTGAAAAATTGTTGTACAATTACTGTAGGTAGGCAAATGAGTCTGGTATGCTTTTTTATATTCTTGGAGTACCTAAGACATCCCTTTTGTATGGATAATTGGATGGCATTTTTACAGGAGATCACCGGATTGCTATCTTTTCTTACGCATCGCGTATACTTGAATTCTTCTGCTATCATTTTTGTCAATAAAATAACATTTGCTTGTCAAAAGAAAACAGCAGAAGCTGGATGTATTTGCCAATATGCAAAAGATTTAAAGTAATAATTGCCTGCAAAACTTTTTCGCTTTTTCCTATAAAACTCATTGAGTCATTGGATCATGGCAATATCTTGGTGATGGAGATAAACATGAACTGATAATGCTACTTTTCCAGGTACCAAGACCCGTTTGTGCTCGCAAATTTCGATAGTGCTCCAACTGCTGACTCAGAGACCTACAACAAGTTGGATAAAACTGTTCGCGATGCGTATGAATCACAGGTGAAATTAATTAGATGCCTTTCTCCAAATTTGTAGTGCTTTCTCCAGGTTAGTAAGCTAAAGTAAAGACTCCTTTGGGCAGTAAATGTGAAGGAGCAATTGCTAAGTGAAAGCAAGATTGGCAAAGTCAGCTTTTTCATATGAAATTGAGAGTCCATATATTCATCTTCTCCAAACTTATGTCTAATCATTTTGCTATCAGCTCCTTGTTCAACATCAATTGACCAAAGCGAGAATGTTCAATCCAAACTTATATTGGGTTGGAAAAGTTTGAAGGCCTTTGCCAGAGTGTTGATATATAATGTGTCTGTGTCAGCATGATGTTTGAATGCAATCTTAACGAACATGAATTATGATTTGCAATGCATCTTGCAGGCCATTATGAAAAGCTTCGTGGCTACAAGCTCAGACGCAGATAAACCTGATAAATTTCTAGCATATATGGTCCCTGCACCAAATGAGGTGAAATTACATCTATTTAAAATGGAAAAGTTCATGAGCATAAATCTCATTTAATGATATTCTGTTGCTTTTCGTTGAATTTGACAGCTAACGAAGGATATGTATGATGAAAACGAGGATATTTCATACAGTTGGGTTCGGGAGTATCACTGGGATGTATGTACCTTTTCTGAGTGCTGAACTCAACCTAGTTACATTTTTATATTTAATATACTTAGTTTTATTAATATTGCTCGCATTTGCCCATTGGCAGGTAAGAGGCGATGACGCGGATGATCCCACTACATACCTTGTGGCCTTTGGTGAAACAGAGGCCCATTACATGGTAAAAAACTGGGTTTTAACTTGTTAACTTTATGTGGTTTAACACTGGAACTTGACTACAACATGGATGTGTGCGTGATGCAGCCTCTTCCAACGAAGCTTGTTTTGAGAAAAAAGAGAGCTAGAGAGGGAAAATCAAATGATGAAGTTGAACATTTTCCAGTACCTTCAAGAGTTACAGTAAGGAGGAGAAAAACAGTAGCTGCCATTGAACTGAAAGAAGAAGGGGTAATGAAGCCACAAGTCTACTCTTCCTTCGGGTTTTTTCTTTCTACATGGCCTTTCCTTTTGCAACTGATTATGACATCGGTGGATCCTTGCAGGGTTATGCAACAGCTTCGAAGGGGGGTGTCTCAAGTTCAAGGAGAGCAAGAACCAATGACGAAGATGCTGTTGGTGAACAACAGAACGATATGCATGATGGTGATCAGGATCAATCTAGTGGAGCTGAGTATGATATGTCTGACTGATTAGTTCGCAATTCATTTCAGCTGATTGGATAATTTACAACAAAGAATAGAGAACAGAAAAAAAAAAAAAAAGAGTAGATATATGGGAGAAGTTGCACAAATAAACAATGCTCTGTACCATGTAGGAATTTTGTTCTTTGAAAAGATTGAACTTTCAAGTAATGTTTTACCAGTGCTCCAATGATTGTTTGGTCCTACAGTTATTCTTGTGCCCTCTCCTCCAGTCTTATACCTTCTGCACAGATGTTGCATTAGGTTTAGTGACTTGTGGTTTAATTTTCGGAGTCGGCTTTTGCAAAAAGTTTCTTCCTGCTCTTTTGCGTGTTGTGGCAGTGTTTAGAAATGAGCTAGGAGATGTATTCTGGTTCAAGAGGAGATATGTCTTGTGCTTCAGGCTGACCCTTTGTGCTTCTCGCAAAACTAGAAATCACAGGAAAGTACACATTGCAGTTGCTCACTAATTCTCACTTGTGCTGTAATGGTTGTCTGGGATAAGCGATAAGCAAACTCGGGTTTCATTAACTTGAGAAAATAAACGGTAGAAGGCAAATATTGTTTCTTCTAATTGCTGTTACGGAGAAAGATTCTTTATGGTAGCTGGAACCTACTACTCATATTTTTTCTTTCTCCGACATGTTACTGTTTGAAGTTAATATCACAAATCATAGTTTTGGTACAAGAGTTGGACGAGACTTTAATATAAAGATCATCAAGATGTCCGGTGATGTTGCATTCTGCATTTAATTGTTCAGAAGGTTGGTTGCAGAAGAAAGATCTTACGGGTGATAAGTGCAGGTTTGGACGCACAACATTTTACAACATTCAGAATATCTCCAGATTGCTCTTGTGGAGAAATTAAAGCTAATGAGAGATTCCACAAACCATATTCCAGGCAGAAATTAGTTAGTTTCCCGAGCTTTGTATTTAAAAGGGAAGCTGATGGAGGTGCATGATAACGCCACAAAGTAGACAATTTTTGAAGGAAAATTGCATTGAATGGATACAATACCATCTTTAGTTCATGAGTATGAGATTCACGCTAGCCACAAGCTCCAAACTTTACAGAAGTCAGTACAACTTTACTTTACAGTTCGATCTCTCTGCATCCAACTGAAGGCAGGTGGGACGCCATTGTAGCATTGATGCATCACCTGTNCCCCGGTTATTACATCAAGACTGTGGTCCTATAAGTAAGCTGCTATACAAGCAGAAGCAAGAGGGTGTACCATCTGCAAGGATGCAATGAATGTAGTATACGATCCTGTCAACATAACAGCCAGGCATGGTAAGCAAAACTCAATATGGAACCTGTTCAAAAGCTGGACTGTTGAGGTGAAGAGGTGAGAGTGCCAGCATGGTAGTGCACATACAGCAAACTATTGGTAGGAGGATGTAGATTACATATGTAATGACTGTATAGAAGATCACGCTCAAAATCTCAATTCTGATTTATTTAATTTCCCACATGTAAAATTTATGAAATAATATGTGCACAGTAGTTTTACATTGATGTGTTGAGGAATATCGATGACAAAAGGGATAAAGATCTCACCCAACCGGGTTTTCAAGGAAGTCTTCTGCGTGCTTTCAGAAGTGCAAACTCCTTGATGTAATTGAAGCCCTAAGAATTGAAAAGGCCCAAAAAAATGTAAATGAGTTCAACTCGGTAAATATGTATAATTAAAGTAAAGATACAATGGATCTTAATGTCTTACCAAGCTTGCCGACATTTCACTGCCTCTTGACGAACGACCCTTTTTGTATCATCAAGAGCTTTGGATAATGCTTGCAACACCTACATATGAAAAGACACATTATGATAATCCAGGCTTCATGAGAAAGACAAGAAGAACCTCTTACACTCCTGATAAATAAGCGGCATCCATTGTTAGGCATTTAGTTAGTGTTTAAGGATCTTTTGATAAAATGTTGGTGGAAATTCTGATTGCTCACACCACAAAACACCAACCTGTGTTCTCATGGGGTATATCCTTGCATGCGGCAACTCTGACATGGCAGCAAGGCACTGAATTGCAGTCTCTCGAATCACCTGATAATTTAAGAAATTTTCAATTTTAAAAAGGTCTCAGCCTATAGTCGGAAGTGAAGGAGAGTAGTGGATTCTTTTCATTAAAGTCCTATTATAACAGGCTCTTGATCAAAAGAGGAATCAGGCTTTCCACATCTATCTATTTGATTCCTAGGTCACCACGATGGGGAGTTTCTTCACTTGGTTAGCAACGAGTGGTGCGATTCTGAGAGCTGAAAACTTGTGAAAGAGTAGAATTCCATATATTAGTTGGTATTTTATCTGCAAAAATCCGGACAAAGATGCGGACACATTTCCTTTACATTGTCAGGTAGTGTCTAACTTGTTGTGGGAAAACTTTAGATGTTTTAGACTACAATGAGTGATACCACGCACTGTTATGCAAGCACGCTTCAGCTGGACGTTTAGAAGATGGAGGACAAGATGAAGGGTGCAAATTGTTGTTCCACTAGCACTAATATGCATTGTGCTGAGAGAAATAGGAAATATTTTGCAGGGACTAGTAATTTTGTACATTTGAGGAATAGCCTCTTGTTCCTTATTTCTTTTTGGTGCACCCACGAGTTTTATATTTATACAGAAGATTGGAAGAGAATCAAACTTCCTTGTAGGTTCTCTACTTTTTGGCATACTGCTATATGAGAGTTATTTCCTGCCATCATCAATAAAATTATTTTACCACATCACCAAATCCCAAACTAGAAAGAAACTTTTACCATCATATGGGGATAGGATGTGAGCTCAGTAAGTCGGCAGATAACTGTGGGCGCATTTTCTATAATAGCTTCTTGTCCTGCATCAACAAAAAAAGAAGTCGGAAAATGAATGATGAAACCATTGAATCCCAAATTTAACATAAAAGCATGAAACAATAACCTGACTAACCTCAAGTTGGAGAAAGACAGGTTTAATTTGTTAAGATTTAGTAAAGAGCTTTTCGCTCGCAATTTCGAAAGCTTACACTAGGGGTTCTCCAGATCTCTTAAAGGAAACTCTTATGAGGTTCCCGGGAAATATTCAAATATGCCACTTATATTTGGTCATTAGCGCGCACAAAAAAAAAACTTCCGTAAGTATAAGATTGGCAGCTAATGAAGCCTTTCTAGATTATTCAAGCAAATTTTCTGAAAGCTAATTGCCTATGTCTATTAACTTCTTCACGCAACCTTGAAGATGAACATGTGCAAATATGCAAGGTACAATTAATATGCAAATCCTTAGCGGATGATTGTCCATAAGCAAATTATGATAGCCGATGTGATAAACTTTTCAGAACTAAAAAGAAACTCTCACAGAGATAAGCAAATGGCCTTACCATTTTTATCTGTTATTATTCCAGAGAGAACTATTATGACACTGTAAATTATCTCCTTATGAGAGACATCCTTGCTTAACATAAGAAAGCAATCTAAAATTACAGGAAGGACCTGCATACAAAGATGAATATCATAAGCAATTAACCTTAAACCTGACCATCAACAATATGAGTACAAATAGTTGGTCATTGCTGCTCACTCACCTTTTTGGCATCACCAACAATAGCAGCAAGAGGAGTTTCTGATATCAGGTGTGCGAAAGCTTGATAGAGAAAACACCTGAAATCACGGGAGGATTAACTTAAGGCAAGCCATCTTAAAATTTGATCAGATCTACAAAAGTTTAATTCAACTCATTACAGTGAGCTCTTTTAAGATAGAAGTCCTCTTATTCAATCTTATTAATCAGGGAAAATGATGTAGCTACTGAACTTCAAAAAAAAAAGTTACTAGTTTTATTTTAGTGAATGCAACAAAACTTTGGAAAACATATTTTACGGGGATTCATGTGTGCTCTGACGTGGATATGTTCAACATTTAACAAGGCTTTAGTGCACTTCGAAAATCCACATGAAACAACCCATACTTTTTTATATCAAGTAAAGTATAATTTAATTTAATAATTGGGATAACTCCCGCATACAAGAGGTATTCCTAAAAAATAGAGAATCTACAGAAAGCACATGAAACAACCCATATACGAGTAGAACACAAGTATTTAGGCAAATGAAGATCGCGCATAACATAGGTAACAAACTGGGACATACAAGATGGGCAAGCTTGAATATTGATTCCGTTTTTTTTTTCCAGATGAGTATTGAANCCCAAATTATGCTAGAGCCACATACCCCTTTCCGCCTTTGATGAGCAGCTTCAGAACATACACTATTAACTTTGTTTTAGAAAGAACATACGCTATTAACTCATAACTAGCACCTCATGGCTCACACTGATAGTCTTCAGAATTATTGAAATTAAATAAAAATGACTTCTTTAAGCAAGAGGTTGTGAGTTCGAGTCACCCCAAGAGCAAGGTGGGGAGTTATTGGAGGGAGGGAGCCGAGGGTCTATCAGAAACAACCTCTCTACCCCAGGGTAGAGGTAAGGTCTGCGAACAAACTACCCTCCCCATACCCCACTAGTGGGATTATACTGGGTTGTTGTTGTTGTTCTTTAAGCAAGCTAATAAAAATTACTCAATAAACTAACTTAATACAAAGACCACAAAAGCTTCTTAACATCTATTGGCGTTCTTAGGCTTCTAAATGTTTCTTGACTTTCTTCAACAAACCATAAACCAGAAGATTACAGTCTCCATTATCAACCAGATACAAAATGAGAGTATGAAGCACGGGATATACAAAAAATTTAAAAAAGGGAAGCCCAGTGCATGAAGCATCCCGGCCACGTAGGCAGCCTAGGGTAAGCATTATTGGCTGATTCCACGTCTCAAATCCGTGACATATAAGTTACACGGAAACAAATTTAACGTTGCTCCAATACAAAAAATTAAACAAATGAAATCAACTATATTGATACGTACCGTGTAGTGGATGAGTCACATTTTACTATTGCAGATAAGAACATAGGCAACATAATGTTGAAAAACCGTTGCTTATAGAGTGGGCGAACGATTGCATGATAATTCCTGTTCAAACAAGCATCAGAGTCGCTCATAAGAATATGAAATGCATCCGCAGCTGATTTTCTGAGACAAAGCACTTCATGCTCTGCGCCATCTTTCATTTGATCCTTAAAAGGCAGCAAATTTCCATTATGTCCACTTGAAACTAACTCACTCAAGAAAGTCATAGTCACATCTTTTAGCTTCTCATGACCCCGCATAAGCAAACCTTTCCCTATCCATGCTAATCCAATAACTGCATGACTATTCATACTGCTTATTCTCGGGTTACCCATATTAACAGCACCACCATCATTGCCTTCTTTCCCAATAATAATGTTGCACCACATCTCATTCTTGAATAACGTATCAATAACTTCTTCGAGACTACAGTCTTCTGATATATTTACAGGAAGTTTGTTAACCAAAGACCCCAGGGCCTGAGCTGACGGTAAATGACCTTCAAGGAGAGTCGTTGTCAACAACTGTAATAACAGTCTTATATTTGGTATCCGAGTTTGAGGACGCAACGCAATTACAACTGATGCGAAGAGTGAAGTAATCCATTCGTCTCGACAAGACAAACCATCAAAAGTCTGACCAAGTTGACTTTTCTTGTTAAAGCGATTGGTTCCTAGAATCAAATCCTTGGATAGGAATAAGGAGCATGTTGCCATCATATCAAAAGCTTTCCGAAGAACCTTTTCCTGGCTTTCCACTGAACAGCCTGCCACAGCTTGCTTCATTGCAGCCATTGTTGCGTCCAGAAACTCCTGAGGTAAGTATGGTATGTTAACATTTTTAGTCGTACTTGTGGGAAAATAAGATGGAAATCAAATATTTCTTCAAATAGAACAAGATATGTGAAGAGGAGGAAAAGAAAATATGCTATGCTTACATTTCCCTTTACTCCTAGACTCAAAGATGTGATATTTTCCATTTTAGCAAAAATATTAACTGCAAGATTCAAAGAGACCTCCTCTGCACCTCCATTGCAATGGAACCTGAGAGGCAACCAAAAACTACAGGTCAGAGCTTTGGTAAAAGAACATTGAAAATATTGGGAATGTTAAGTTATTTTTTTATGAAGTAGGACTGTTAAGTTATTTAACTCATTTAAATACAACTGCTAGCCAAAAATTCCGATCATCTTCCAGCCTACATAGGCCGACTCCACCTGCCAAATGGATCATATAGCAGATTGTTTTGTTAGGATGTGAGACTTAACCATTTCCATGCTACAAGAAACAGTGACAACAGAAATAAAGGTCAGAAAAGAACAACTAAATACTGTATACTTTTAGATCTCCCTTTTTCCCTTTGTTCTTTGCCCTTCCTTCCTTTGTAATAGTTGAAAATTTTATACATACTTATTAATGAGTTTTAAAATTTATTAGATAGTTAGTGGGCCTAATTTATAATTATACATGCTAGTGAGCATGGAAGTGATTTTAAATAATAATAATAATAATAATAATAATAATAATAATAATAATAATAGGGATAAAAGGAGTGGGCCCAAAACCTGCATCTCATGCAACTACACGTTTTAGGACTTACAAATTTAAATAGGGAAAATATTGATTCCTTGTTTCATTAGAAGATACCATAATATAGGGAAGAACAAAGAGGGCACTGTGACAGCGGAAACAATTAGTGGGAGTTGACTACTCTTTGGAAAGCTTCTTAGCGGAATTTTTGTGGAAGGAAATGGCTATAAAATCAGGTACTTTATCAATTTTTGTACAATGGTATGCATGGAATTGAATTTTTTTGCAGAGGATAGTTATTATATGTACCCATATAATAATATTTCAATGATTTGGAACTAATTCCTAACCCTTCCTTTCAAAGTCTCCACTAAAACGTAGGACATCTATTTTCCTTGGTTGTTGGCATTAATTAACTAGTAATGTGGTAGTGATTAGAAAGTAAGAAGGAAATAGTAATAGCATCCATGGTTGTATAGTAATATTAATAATGCAAATAGAAATATTGGGTTGAAATCTACTTTTTTAAATCTGCCATGGAAAAGAATTATGGTGATACAATTTCACCAGTTTTGATTTCTACCATTTTGAATTTAGGAAACATAATACTTATGCCAATGATTGACACAATTATTGTAGTAATGATGATGGCAATAATGAAGTGAAAGAATTATATGGTATAATGTGATGACTCGCCATGTCATCATGCCACATAGGCGCCATTTGGCATATATTAATGCCATGTGGAAGCTTACATAGGAGGAAGGCTTGCATTTGTGAGAAGATTTTAGAGTAGTATGGACATTTCCTTTGGAAGACCCTAGATCCCTATGGATTTGCTAGGAAAGTCCTTGGAATCTTCTAGGCTTGTAGAGAATTCTAGAGAAAGTCCTTATCTTGTAAATATTAAGGACTTGTGTAACAATAAATATTTACATACTAGCCCCTAGGAGACTAGTATATAAAGGGGGCCATTCATTTGTAATTCATCAAGAAAACAATTCAAGTTCTCTCTAATACAAAGCTTCCATTAACAATTCTCTTGTGTTCTTTCTACCATTCTCTTAGCGATCTTGAGTGTAGTAAGGCTGATTTGGCATAGCAAGAACGTGAGCAAATTGACAAGTGCCGCACGTGTACTTAGTTAATGACTAAGAACGTGACAACCTGGTATCAGAGCAAAGGTTGCAACTAAGGGAATGGCAAACGACGGAGAAATTAACGCTGCCAACACTCAAGTCAACGTCATCCACGATGCTGCTGGCAAGAGCGGCCGTAACAAAAACAGAAATGCCACCAACAAGGGCCAGGAGGTGCCACCCGAGGTTGTGTCAAACGAAGGGCTTACATCCCAAGAACCATCTGCCATTGAGGCGAGCGAGGATGAAGTGGAGGTCCTGCCCGAGGATGTCTCGCTCGGTAAAGAGTGGGTGATGAAGATGAACGCGGGGATGGACGCCGTGGAGATCTTTGGCCAACGCTTGGGGAAGGTGGAAGGCACCCTTAGCGTTCTTGAGGGGCACACTCTTGAAGAGATTGAGAGCATCCGAAATGACTTGGAGGGACGTACACAGACCGAAATGGAACTAAGGCAAACTATCACTGCCTTAGAGTACAGACTCATGGAGGCTTTGAGTACTATCGATGCTATGAAGGCAAAGATAGAATCACTCGAGGAGCATGTTAATGCTGGCGTGACCGAGGCAGCCAGCAATGTTGTGGTGACGAGGGAGGCCAAGATCGAGGCTCCCAAACCCCCGGTGTTCAAAGGTGTTCGTGATGCACAAGAAGTGGAAAACTTCCTTTGGCACTTGGAGAACTACTTCAAGCACGGCAAAGTGAGGGACGACGAGGCCATGATCAACACTGTAGTGTTGTACCTCTCAGAGACTGCCATGCTATGGTGGAGAAGGAAGATGGCCGATGTGGATAAAGGTCTATGTACTATTAGCACGTGGGATCAGTTCAAAGCCGAGTTCAAGCGACAGTTCTTTCCAAACAATGTCTTGTACGAGGCAAGACGCAAGCTTAGGGAGTTGAAGCAAACACGGAGCATACGTGTCTATGTCAAGGAGCTCACTACCCTTATGCTTCAAATCCCCAACCTGACCAATGATGACTTGTTCCACTTCATGGACGGGTTGCAAAATTGGGCTAAGCAGGAGTTACAACGCCGACAAGTCGCAAATATAGACCAAGCCATAGTGGAGGCCGAATCATTGATGGATTTCAGGCATGACAAGCACGACAAAAGGAAAGTCAAAGAATCAAAGTTTAACAATGTCAAAGGTGGGGGAGACCGTGGCAAAGGCAAGGAGATACAACAACAATACTACAAGACTCAAGATTCCAAAAAGTTGAGTGGCCGTCAAGGCTACGCCGAGAAGAAGGCGCAGGCCGAGAAGAAGGGATATTACATATGCGGAGGGCCGCACAGCTTCAGGAATTTCCCCGACCTAAAGAGCCTTAGCGCCATGGTCCGTGAACGGAAAGAGCAGCCGCAAGGAGAGAGTTCGGGAACCGCACAGTTAGGTATGATCGGATTATGCGGTGCTGTCACAAAGCAATCTATCCAACCTATCGAGAATGGCAACCAGTACGTGGATCTCACCATCACCAACAAGCCTGCTCGTGCAATGGTGGATACTGGAGCAACTCATAATTTCGTGACTGAGGCTGC